TAACTACAAAAGGTATATAATAGATAATTTCTTTTATAGAATATAAATTATATAAAATATTTTTTAATATATAAGTGTATAAAAAAACTTCTGTAAAGGATTATAGATTGTATTTTACGTAATATTATAGTTATAGTTAAAGATAGGTATCATAATTAAGAAGTTGCAACTCAGTATATTGCAACTCCTTGTAAATTTATTTTAATATAAAAATTCATAAATAGTTGCAACTCAAAGTGTTGCAACTTAAGTTGTAACTAGTTAAAAACTTTAAAAATAATTATGAGAACTATCTTTAGTTATAGTATCATAAGATTTATAAAATATTACAGTAAAATCTTAGGGTTATAGTATTGTAAGAATTACAAATATTACAGTAAAATCTTATATAAGATTATGAGCTTATAAAATTATAAAACATTATGGTAAAATTCTATATAAGGTTACAGGATTATATGAAATCTTACATAGGATTATGATTTCTATCATAAATTTAAAATTAATAATGCATGTATTGCACTATTTAATATGAGTAATAAGTACATAATTTGTATCTTTTATTAATTCATATATATTTTTAGCTTTTAAGAGATGTTAATTTTAAATATTCAATTAGCATTAAATAATTTATTTAAAAAATAAAATCAAAATCAAATTATTTCTATATCTAATTCAATCTGATTTTAAAAACCTTATTATTACTATTATAATAATCAAATATTAAAAAATTTGGAACTTTCTAAAAGTAAATTTATAAAATTTACTTAAATAGAATTCTAATTTAATGAGTAAAAATTAAACTGCAATATTTAAGATTTTACAACTAGTTATAATCTAATAGTGTAAATTTATTTTTATTAGTGAGAAAGTAGTATTTCTGAAAATTAATAAAATAAATAAAAAAATTAGATTTGAATTTTTTTTAAAAAAAATTTCCAAAATTTATTTGTCAGATTTAAAAAAAAATTTTTAAAAATAGATAAAACTAAAAATTATAAATTTTAATAAATTATAAAAAATCTTTAATACTTATGATCCTAATTTAATAACAATATCTTTAAAAATAAAAATTTTCATATCTTATTTAATTAAGTAAAAATAAAATTCTTAAAATTAAAATATTTTTTTAAAAAAAAAATTGTGAGATCTAAATAAAAAGAAATCATTATAGTAAATAATGTATATTTTAAATATCAAATCAAATCAAATATAAAATAAAAATGTATGAAATTGATTATTTTTTTATTACGAATTGTTCTAAACTTATATCCTTATATATTACATAATATTAAGATGATTTAATACAGTATAATTTATGATATATATAACTTTTTAAAAATAAATAAGCTATATATAATAAATTTTATCTATTATTAAAGGAAAATCCCATGCATAACTTTCAGATTGAATTGCTCATCTAGCTTGCAGACATTTTTGAAAGAGGGTTACGCTCCATTTAATAAATCTTAATTTTTATGTACTAAAAATTGATTATAATTTTTTTTAATTTTTTTTTCCTGTAAAGTAATCCTTTGGATTCGAACAAAATTTGCCCGAGGTATTTGTCAAAAGCAAAGAATTTTAATTACTAAGTTTACAGAGGAAATCATTAATTAATGAACCAATATGTAATTTTTTTTTTTAAAGCAAAAGATCATAGAGTTATAACAAGTTAAACCATCTATCTATATATAATTCGACCAGTTAAAAGTTGGTTATTTATTAGCGATCAAAGAAACCGTCGTCAATAAGAAAAGGATTAACCAAAAAAGATTTGATGGAATGCTTAGAATACTCGAATATCGTGTGTATTTCTATTTAAACAAGTTTGACTGGATTTTTTTTTTCCTTTTACTAATAATCCCATCTAACACTATTGGTGCACTGCACTTCAAAATTACAAGTTTTATAACGAGCCTAGAATCATAATGCGTCAAAATAATGTATGTATGTACTCTGTTTATGCTGTTTGTCATGTTTTTTAAGAAAAAAAAAAATTTAATCGTAGAATATTTAAAAAAAAAAAAAAAAACGAGTTTTATTTTTTTAATTAGTCTTGAAAAATCTTCATTGAAAAAAAAAATTATCACCTCATTGTTTTTATTTTCATGTTTCATAAACAAGAAAATAATCCTGATTTTTTTACGAAAAAAAAAAAAAAAATGATTTTGCAGGGTCCTTGAGAAATAAATAAGCAATGAACATGAAAAAAAATTCACTTACTCGATTTGGTTCAATTTTGTACTTAAAATTCGAACAAATAAAATCGGGTTGAAAACGTGTTTCGTAAAGATTTTCAATGTACATAATCAAACGCACAAATAAAGTCAAGGTTACTTCGCGTAATATATATATTTTTCTACAATGCATAAATTAAAAAAAAAATTATCGTTACGAGGGATCTCCGAGAAATTTTTTTTTAAAATATTTTTTTTTTTTTTTTCAAACATGAATAACATGAATAGAATAAATATATAAATATTTTAAGGTTTATGATTGAAAAATATAAAAATCTTCTCACCATAAAACCGTTCAATAAGCATTTAATAAGCTTAATAAAGACTTTTTTAAGATTAACAAAAACTCTTTAGGATATATTAATGACCATAATTATACTCATTTCTCGGTTCCGCGTACCCTCTCCTCCCTCTCTCAAGCCAAGGGCCAACGTAATAAATAAATAACATACAAATTACATAAATGTTTGTGGTTTTTTTTAACAATGCGATTATAACAATGCCAATTCCATAAAAAGAATATCCTCTTAAAAATACCTTTTTAGAAAAAAAAAATCATCTCTTGTTTATATATTTCTTGTTTGTAATACAGAAAAAAAAATCAAATAAGGTGATAAAAACGTGATGAAATCCCTCATTACGATCCAAAATGCCTCGATCTTTAATTGCCGCGGTCATGCTGCGGATATTATTATATGCTACGAGGTAGTAGAAGCCATCGATTTTTCGTAAGGAAAATGTCAAAAATTAGAACAATGTTAATTTGGTGGTATTCATTAAATCATTACATAGTAAAAAAGCTATAAATGTTAACTGCAATAGGAAGGTTTGTATAAATTACTTAAAAGAGACTGATCTGTGTTAGAGTACGTGGTACCAAACGTCCAAATAATCATATATGAATTGTTTGACGGAGATGTATGGATGGTCTCAATGGATTGATTGTACAAGAGAAAAAGAACTTTCTTTGATTTGATGATCATCCCACGAGCTTTTTATTTCCCGCCAAAACTCTCATTTTAAAATCATAATAAAATGGTGATAACATATTAAAGTTTTTTTTTTTAATATTGTTTTTTTGTTTTTTTTCCCGCCAAAATCAAAACAAACCAGCATTGGAATTATTTTTACAGGGTAGCATGGGAAAACCAAAAATTAAATCTAGAACGGTTCATAGTATTATATTATATAATGAACACATATGAATAATTAAAAAAAAAATTTTTTAATTTTTCTAAAAAATTTAGGTTGTTGAGATAATGGAAAAACTTTGGATAGGCCGGGAAAACCGTTGAAAATTTCATGTGAAATCATTGGAATCGTCCGAGGTGAAATAAATAAAGTATTGCCAAGCGGGCTAACCAACCCGGATAACATTTAAGCTATGTCCCCGACCTACGAATAATTGATTTCCCATTCAAAAAAAAGCTATTATCAATAAACAAACAAAAAAATACACAAACTTTCTGGGTGCTTCCTAAAATGTATATGAAATAATAATGGCGGAAAATTCCCATTATGAATCATGAAAATTTCTGCGCCAGGGTTTCATTCTTCGCGAAAAAATAATGAGATATTAATAATAATAATCCAATTTATTATTTCATGTAAATTATGAAAAAAAAAAATTCATGCTTTTTTTTTAGATGATGCATACTAATACAAAAAATTTTTTTCTCTCTTTCCTTTAATAAAATTGTTTTAACGTTAATTGTAAACAAAATATGCAAAGGACGCCAACGTTCAAAAAAAAAAATCTATTTTTTTTTTACATTTTATCGTGTGCAGTAGCTTAAAATCTCATACTCAGGGGGTTTAAAGGCGAATGCTGTCATTTTTTTTTTTTCACAAATTATCATTTCGAATAAACATTAAAAAAAAATAAATAAATAAATAAAAAAAATATATATATACAATAAAATTATACATGTAATCCGAGTTTCTATTCAGAACCTTTTTATAACCAGCATATTAGATGCATAAAAATGTAATTTTAGAATTTCTCAGCGAAATTATGCATTCACACATCATAAAAATTCTTCGTAAAGAAACAAAAAAAAAAGGTTGTTTGATGAATAATTAGATGAATATCCGCTTCCGCTTTATTATTAATGAAAATTTCCTTTGTCTTGCATAAATTTTGTTACAAATGCTGACTCATTTCTTCAAAGTTTCACATCGAAGACATTCTTTCTCTCTGAAATTTTTATACGGGATTTTTTTTTTTTTTGAAAATCATATGAACTGCGAGTTGCTATTAATAACCATGACAATATGGATAACCAAGCTTTTTTTTATACGTGATATCATCGTCCTTTCAGTCACGTTTGTTCTATTGTTTCATTGAAACATCATCAAAATTAAAACCGCTGGAAAAAAATTTTTTTTTTGTTAGGCGTACATGCAGAAATATCACATGCTTGCAATTAAAATAAAAAAAGTTTATTATAGTATAGGGCTTGTAACCCATTCCTTTTTGGTAACTAACATATCAAAATCATTTTTTCAACAATAAGAGTATATTGTAAGTAAAATAGATGTATATATTATATATATATTATTAATTGAAAAAAATAAGATAAATACTAATCAAATCCATTATCCATCCTCCAGAAAAAAATCTCTTTTACCCCACAAAAAAAAAAAAGAAAAAAAAAATAGTTTACCGTTCAGAAAAAAAATAAAAAAGAAAGAAAATACACATTAACAACCAAAATTTCTCAAACTTTTTTAACATTACTTTTTTTTTAAAAAAAAAACAAAATGTCTCTCACATTAAAACCAAAAGGCGAATTAAATCTTTTTGGTAGCGTAGTCAATCACGTATCATTGTGCGCAAATTTCACATTATCTGTCGCATGTAAAGCAACCTTTGCCATAAATTTATTATTATATGTCGTAGGAAGTACTCTAGCCAAATTCACAAAACAATTCGTTATGATTGCGAGCGAACGTAGTGCAAGTACCGCAAAGTGGTGTTTGGTTTTAATCGATGAAATATTTTCATTGACCATCGACTATGTTGATTTCGATGATAAACAAGATCAAAAGGTTTCTTCGGAAGCAACTTCAATCAAAACAATCTTGGCAAACGCTTCCAAAAGAAAATCAAGATCAAGAAGTGCATCTCTTTCAGCGAAGAAAGGAATCGCTGGTACCATTGCTGCACCAATTTCACCCATTGCACGAAGTGATGCGGTAAAGAAAACCGATGCCTCCCAACCAATCGAGATTCTACCAAAGTCTAAATCTACCATTAACAAAACACATGAAGCCGCCCTTTCAATGTTTGCTGAAATCTCTTTAAGAAAATCTGGTAAGCTTCATCTTCAATTTAATTATCTTTTCTCTTCATTATCTTTTTTTTTTACCTTTACTAATCAATTGATTTTTCTTCGCTATAGAAAAATGCATGTTAACCAAGGAACAGCAATCTCGTCCGTTAATTGCATCATCCCTTGGTCAAAATCGTTCTAAAGATTGGAAATCCATGAATGTTTGTCCAAGCAAACGTTATTCAACTCTTGCAAATGAAAATCCAAAGCGTTCAAACTCAATGAAATTGATAAATTCAACAACCGCAAACCGAATGATGCGACGTGTCAAAGCAAAAAAACAATCAGATATTGAGATGAAAAATCATCAAAAATCAACTCCAAAACCAAAATCTAAACCTGAAATCAAAGATAAAAATTTAATTTTATTTTATGACCGACCTTTACTCTCTCAACGTCCCCGTACCGTTCATTTAAGTAAAACTCCCGCCGTTGCTTTACAAAACGCAAGAAAGGTTTTAAAAGTTATGATGAAAATCAGAAAGCATAGAAATACTATATAATATATATATATATATATATATTTCTCTTTTTTTATTATTTAATTCACTTTCATTGTCATTTCAGCATAATTTTTGCATCATCACATTTTTTTTTTCCTTCGTGTATAATACATTCAAATTTTCATGAACAATTTTATATTTTTTGTTTTTTTTTCTTTTCTTTTTAGCATTATCTTCAAAACACTTATGATTAAGAATCTGTAAATAATTAGTAATAAGAATTTTTTATTTCTTAAAATCGTAGCTAGATATTATATTTTTTTGCAACTAGTTACGTGTTTTTAATGAAAAAAAATAAATTAAAAATTAAAAATAAAATTCATAATCAAAAAAAAAATTTAACATTATATAAAAACAATTTCGTCTAATATAACTTTACCTCGTTATAACGGACAAAAAATTTAAACATTTTATTAAATCAATTCGTTTACTATCAATTTTAACTTTATCTCGTTTACAAATCAGCTTTCGTTTTAGAAATATATATCATTCATTTTATTGCTGTTTATAATGAAAAAAAAATTTTTAAAATAAAAAGTTCATAATCAAATAAAAATTTATCACTTTTCACATTATATTAAAACAATTTCATTTACTTTCTTAATATAACTTTATCTCGTTTACAAATAATAAGCGCTTCTGTTTTAGAATGCAATTATATAAACGTTTAATTCCGTGTTTATAACAAAAAAAAAAATAAAATTCAAAGAAAAATAAAAATTCCCAATCAAAAAAAAAAACAATTCACAATTTATAATAAAACTTTATTTCTCATTTACAAATAAATATAAATTAAAAAGGTTGAAACGTTTTATAAAATTATTTTGCTGACCATTCTCCCTTCGTCAAACTGTTCTTTAAATTCTTGATATCCAGTAATTGAAAAAAAATTAAATAAATAAAAAATGGCCCGTGCGGATGAAACAAGATTCCTTCCCGCCAAAAGAATGGCGACATTATGTCTCGCTTTTTGTTTATTGATTTTCCCGCCAAAAATTCTCAAAAAAGTAAAAAATAACATTCTGCGCCACAATAAATTATACGCCGTGACAACGAGTATTGAATTTAATACTTCAAGGGAAAAAAAAACTTTTTGACAACACCCCTTTTTGAAAAAAAAAAAGTGGACAAGGAAAGAAGGAAAAAAAAAAGAAAGAAAAAGGTCGAACAACTCCGCTAAATTATAATGGTAAATTTTTAATATTGTATGTGGCTCAAAATGGTTTAATCGAAAAAAGGAAATTTAAAACTTGAAAAATGAATTGCATCAAGAAAATTCTGCAATTCGGGGTAGAAAGCGGCGGGTGTACAAAAAAAATTGTGACAATGATCCTAGAAGTTTTCTGTTGAAACAAAGAAAAAATGATGCGGATAAATTTAGTAAATCCAACTGTGACTCCTTTCTTTCTATATGTTCCATGATATGCAAAGAAGCAAAGCTCAATGATGATGTTCATCGAATCGAATTGGAATTGAATTTCATATATTTCACATCATTGATTAAATTTATACATAACATCACACCGCCTTAAAATCGCCACATCTTTTTTGCGGCGAGTGCACAATATAAATTTTCACGAGTCATTTTTTTTTTTTACAAAAATATATTTAATATTCAAGGTGATCTTTAACGAATTAGGTAAATCAAAAATCGTTACCCCCCAATTTCTTTGTTTTATAATGATTAAGTTTTACATTGTTTGAATTTGATGATAAACGTAAAAAGTATATTTTTCGAGTAATATTGTGAAAAAAGTTTTAACATATGCTTTACTGAAACTTCCGAAATTAATTTAGAACGTGAAAATTGAAATTAAAAAATCTGTTTTTGTATTACAAGAAAAAAATTGAACACAAGTGGTTAGGCTGTTGTAGTTTCAATATACCCGTCTCCGGATTTGCCTTTGACATTTGTAGAACGTTTTCATTGTTGAATGTGGGAGTTACTGGGTCATAACAAAAAAAAACCCTTGATGCTTGTGGTTATACTTACAATCAATAAATTAAAATAAGAATGATATTGTATTGAATGCATCTTTTATTGTCTATTGTGGGGACAATTCTTAGAAGTTCGAGACAGATTCCAATAGATTGAATAGATTGACATACCCACATTTACTCGCATTTTTTCATGCGAGATATGACCGTCTTTGCGCGTTCAAGTTTCGTATTTTTACATGTGTTAAAACTTCTTTGATGTGATAACCGAATTACAAGAAACGCCGAGAACTTTTGAAAATTCGTTAAACGAGTTCTAGATTCCTCATAATTACATATCATTTATATCATTTGACAAACTGTGTGGTTCTAAATATCTAGGGAACCTTTATGTTTAGTTTCTAGGCAAATTATGCAGTATCTTAATTTAGAATAGATAAAACAAAAACGTGACGAAAATTAAAAATTTTTTTTTTTAGGTAATTATGATTCGGAATAGGTAAATGGAGTTTCTTTAATAATAGTCATTTTCATAAAATTGAATCTTTCGGTTAAGGAAATAATTCTTACTTTGAAATTTGTACGAAAGTGACCAATGTTCAATTTCGAAATTCTGGTAAGATCTTCAATTCATTATACTCATAAATTAATTTTTTTAGGAACCCTACCTTCTCACGTGATCTCGCTTCGAAAAAAACGAAAACTGCTTAAAATTATTTTTAGTTGAAGAATCAATTCAGAATCACGAAAAAAAATGAAAATAACAATAAGAAAAAAAAACTTGATTCGAACAAATTTGCCTCACAAATCGTTTAAAAGTTAGCATTTAATGATAAATCTTATTAATAATACATTAAATTTATATTATTAATACTTTAAATGGATAAACTATTTTTTTTTTTTTAAAAAAAAAATGTAATTACATTATAGAAATTCTAATGTTCAAATTTTAACGCAATAATAAAATTTCCCCAAACAAATAATATTGAATGTTAATTAAAAACTATTGATCTTTCAATAGCTTACTCTCAATTCAAATAATATGTACAAATATAATACCAATGCGATAATCGGCTGAAGTGTTTTGACCCCTTGCGAAGTCGTCTTGACGTCAAATTATTTTTATCGATATATTATAATTATCAAAATCAACAATGAGGTTAATCATTGTGACCAATCTTTTAAAATACCAACAGATGTAAAATAATCCAAGGCGTTCATATAAGTTGTAGTGATAACGAAATCACAAGTCAATTTTAAAGACAAAGGTTTTCTACCTTCCCACTTTTTCAAGAAACATTCTAGATCATTAACAGTAAATCTCCAACTACCACTTAAATTCAATTGAGCCAAATTATGAGAAGATTTCTTAATAAGTAAACCGAAAATATTTGTGGCATCACAAGCTAATTGATAATCTGGATCTAATCGATCCTCATCAACATCAATATCAGCATCAACATAAACATCATCGTCATCATCTTCATCTTCATCATCATCTTCATCATCATCATCATCATCATCATCATCAGTTGCTTCTTCAAGGTTGGAAAAGGTCGATAGGGCTTCCAACTCGATAGATTTCAATTTCTTACATGATAATAATAATTGTTCCAGCTCAGGGTAAATTTCTTCAATGTACCAAAGCGTAATTTCTTCAATATTCGGACACTGGTTAATTATCGTTTGAATATACGGTTGTATTTCTGTTTCTGATGGAGGTGGAAAAGTTTGAAAATTAATCTTTCTCAAATATCCGATAGTAGTTTTGATAAGTGAGGTATAAAGTTCTAGAGGTTGTTGATCAGCCGAACTCATCATGATTTCTAAAACCTCCAAATTCGGTAATTTAACCGAATCCAAATGTTCCAAGTCTGTGTCCATCTCATTAATTATAATCTTTAAGCTTTTTAAATTTTTTAATTCAGCAATGATATCGGAAGGTATGCAAATATTAGACTCGAATAAACTTGTTAGAGTTTTTGATTGAGTTTTTAACGCTTCACCGATTTTTTGACATTTCTCATCCTCAATTGATACAATTGAATGCATTATAACTTGTTGTAAATTATTTTGTAAGCAAATTAATGCTATCAATCCCTCATTATCATCTCCACATTGATTAATAATCATTGTTTTAATATTTCTACAAACTTGTGCTAAATCTAAAAATAACTTTGCCGTGTCATAAGCCGAGCATTCAAACTCGCTCAACGCAGCTAAACATTGATTCGCTCCCGGGAAATGAACAATAGGCGTATTTGGCAGTTGAAGATATTTCACCGTAGTACATTCCTTCATGAATAATTTCCATAATTCATTTTCAAGAATATTTATGTTATAATCATTAATTAACGTGTCCGTTTTAATCCCTGTCATCTTTATAATTGTAGATACGACCTCATTAATATGATCATTATATAAATATTGTATACTTGATATATAATCAAACAGTGGTCGCTTATCCGTAATTGATGATGATAAATCTATATTATTCCTTTTAATTAATTCTTTTTGTTCTTTGGATAAACATGAAAATATTGTCTTTGATAATGATATCCAATATATCTGATCTTTGAAAAATTCTCTGAATTTCCAAGGGTCTCGCCATAAGATTTCTACAGCTGTTTCACACCAATGCCTATTCACCAGTAAACACGAGAATAATGACTTTCTTTCTTCAACTGCTGATTCCGATATTTCTTCAACATATATAAATATCTCTCGAAGACAATCTGATGGTATATGTAGTGTCATTTTCTTCTTTTTTAATCAGTTTTTTTTTTTTTTGATAAACTCGCTTGTTGGATAAGTAAAGATGATAAGGAAGTTGGTGAATATCATTCAATCGACGGATATTGTGATACGTTCTTGAATCGTCAATTTTAAATTTACCTACAATAAAAATAATTTATATATTTAATTTAAGTACAAGTTTCTTGACTTTTTATTTTAAAACTGTCTTCAATTACTAAAGTAAATAAATAAATAATTCTTTTTGAACAAGTTTATTTATTTACTTTATTTAATTTTTTTCTTTTTTTAAAATAAAAAAAATAGAGGAGGAAAGAAAGAAAAACTTACGACTTTTTTTTTTTCCAAAAAAATTCTGTAAAAATTGATTTAAATCGGAGAAATTCTTATTGGTTCTATTTTTTGGTAGTTCTGCAAATCCATACAATGCAATAATGTGATAGACACCTTATGATATAACCTACTGCGGAGGAGGTTTGTATCAAAGTTTGTATCAGGTGGTCATCATTGTCAAAATTTGGTATAAATCCAGTTCCTTTTTTTTTTTTTTTCAAATTTACATTTCAAAAAAAAAAAATTATGATACTTCCAGAAGATTGCATAAAAGAAATTTTGGAACATCTTGCAGAAGATAAAAAGTCATTATATAAATGTCTATTCGCAAATAGATTATTTTGTAAATGTGTCGTACCAATATTATGGAGAGATCCATGGTCAGAATACTTTTCTAGAGAAAGCTTTTGGACAAGAGATCCATGGTCTGAATACTTTTCTAGAACAAACTATTGGACAATTCTTGGAAAAACGATAATCAAATGTTTTCCACGAGAAATCAAACAATCCCTTTCAAAAAAAATTTTTTTGAACCCTTCATTATTGCAACAACCTTTATTCATCTACGTTTCTTATATTCAATCCATCTCTGAAAGTGCAATAGATACATTAAATGAAAATGTATTCGAAGATTACGGTAGACGTTATTTTCAATTATTAAAAGATGAATTTTGGTCATTATTCATGAAACAATGTTTTAAGATCAAATTTCTTTGTTTACCAACCATGAACCTTTTCAAATATCCCGGATCAAGAAATTTTTTATCATCCCTTTCCACCTTAGAGTGTTATCCAAATACCTCTCCAGCAATTTTTATTGAATTATCAAAAAATGTTCACACATTGAAACGACTTGTAATCTCAGTTAATCATCATAATCTTAAATATATTGAAACTCTCATTCTATCACAAAAAAATTTAGAAGAATTATCATTTAGTTCTTATAAATATCCATTCCCTTTTAGAACTTTTAGAAAAATTATATATGGTTCTGGTAAATATCCAATCCTTTTTAAAAATCAAAATACTATTGGCCGACTTTCTCAATCCTTAAGAGTTCTTGAATTTTATAGACAAATTTGTTTACCCTCACAAAATATTTCTTCTTTTATCAATTTAACTGAATTATCAATTAATTACAGCTCAGCACCCCCATTAAATGAGGAAAATGATAAAATATTAGAACATGTTTCTTTGCCAAAACTTGAAATTCTTACTTTGAAGAATGTTAATAGGAACAATTTAGATATTTACGCCAAATTAATAGATAATACGAGAAATTCTCTCAAGGTCATTGATATTTATTTCAACGAGGATAATCCAATGTTATCATTAGAATCCATTGAATATTATCTAAATGTAATCAAGACGAAATGTCCAGACATTGAGATTTTACCGATATGGTTAATTCCTGAGATTCCTTTAAGTATTCTCGAGTGTTTATTAGAATCATGTTCAAAGGTTAAAAAGATAATTATTTACATCTTAAACTCGAATTCACTTTTAGATACAGTATTGGCGAAACCAATTTTATATTTATTGGCTTTAAAATCGTCAATGATGTTAAATGATATTCGTTTGATTGGAAGGTGGAGCTTTTCTAATTTAGATATCCAAGAATTTTTTGAGTTATGGAAAGGAATGAAAAGAACCCCTTTGAAATTTAAGTTTGATAATAATATTTTTTCCCAATATATTATTAAAATATGCGAATTTTATCATCGACAAGGTATCATTAATCGTGGTATTATCAATTACACTACACCATATAAATATTGTTAGTATATTGTATTGTGTTAGTCCCCCATAATGTAAATAGAACTAATTTTCGGACAAAAATAAATAAATAAATAACGAAGATTCAAGAATCACAGATTAATTTTAATTACCAAAAAGATTTTTTTTTTTTTTTTTTGCGTGCCAGAAATCATTTGATCATGTGCCTAATGAAGGCTTGGAAATTAGGCTTAAATTATTTATTGATATAATCTTGACCCCTTAATAACGGATTGGTCTTTACGAAATCCGAGTTTGATTGATAATCTTTGTTTGACAATAAACTAAGCCAAGGTTATATTCGGTATTTTACAACTTGGACGAATTTGCTGTTGATCATCTTGATCGATCCAACTTTAAGGAATTGCCTCTTGATCGATCTAAAATAAATAAAGGCGAGCGAGCCGAAACATTCGGGAGAAGACGAATTTAATCTAGACGATTACAAAACAATAAAGCCGAGCCTTGGATTAAGCCTTGACTGATTTATTTTTTCTATGAAACGAAAAAAAAAAGAATGAAATGAGGCTTTGAAAGGTAAAACGAATACTATGGAATTTCTTATTTTTCGTTGATTTTTACTTTTAAATTATTGTGATTTTAAAATTTACGAGTGGCTTTGAAATTGTACTATTTCCATAACAATTTTTTTTCCTTCATATATTATTTTTATTGTTAATTACGCGTGAATTTTAGTGGCTTAGATTAATTCATAAATTATTGGTAGGCATAAATTAATTATCAATGAACAAAAAAAAAACCAAAAAACAAATATAATTAAGGTTTAGATAATTTGTGGTCACATGGTCACATGACTGCTAAAATTGCTGCATATAATCATGTGGTAACAATTTGATTCTTTCCCCTCTCCCTACTTGTTCACAAAAAAAAAATATGATACTTCCAGAAGATTGTATTAGGGAAATCTTGGAATATCTTTCAGAAGACAAAAAATCATTATACACATGCTTGTTTACAAACAGATTATTTTGTAAATGTGTCATACCAATATTATGGAGAGATCCATGTTCCGTAAGGAATGAGCCATGGTTAGAATGTTTATCTAGAACTAATTATTGGAAGATCCTTGGGAAAACAATCATCAAATGTTTTTCACGAGAAACCAAACAATCACTTTTAAAACATCATGTTTTTATAAATCCTTCATTATTACAACAACCTTTATTCAATTACGTTTCATATATTCAATTCATTTCCGAATTTAAAACTAAAATCTTAATTATAGATATATTGAAAGATGTTAATATTAAGATTCTAACACAATATGAAACGATCAAACGATTGTTATTCAATGAATGTTGGTCATTATTCATGAATCAGTGTTTCAAGATTAAATCTATTCGTTCATCAAGCATTGAACTATTTTTCAAACATCCTAGATCAAACAATTCTTTATCATCACTTTCCACTCTAGAATGTTGGAATTGCTCTAGAGAAATTCTCGAATTATTAAAAAATGTTCATACGTTGAAACATCTTTTAATCTTTGTGGGTCAAACTAATGATATCGAACCTCTCATCCTATCACAAAACAATTTAAAGGAAATATCATTTTATTATGATTCAAGTGTATCTCAATTTCCTTTTAAAAATCGAAAAACTATTAAACATCTTTCTCAATCTTTAAAGATTCTTAGATTTGATCGTGGCATTTGTTTATCCTCACAAATCATTTCTTCTTTTATCAATTTAACCGAATTGGAAATTAATTACAAATCATCGTTTAGTGAAGAAAATGTACAAATATTGGAACAAGTTTCCTTACCAAAGCTTGAAATTCTTTCATTGAAAAATGTTAGAGGGGAATTTTTAGATATTTATGCTAGATTAGTGGATAATACGAGAAATTCACTTAAGGTTATTGACATTCATTGTACGGATAGTAGTATATCGATGGCACCATCGTTAGAATCAATTAAATATTATCTACATGTAATCAAGACGAAATGTCCAAATGTTGAAATTTTACCAATTTGGTTAATTTCAGATATTTCCTTAAAAGATTTTGAAGATTTATTAGAATCTTGTTTTAAGATAAAAAAAATTATCATTCACATCTTAAATTCAGTTTCAAATTCGGATACGGTGTTAGCTAAGCCAATTTTTTATTTATTGGCTTTAAAATCATCCGCACTTTTAAATGATATTCATTTAATTGGAAGATGGAGCTTTTCTAATTTGGATATTCAAGACTTTTTTGAATTATGGAAGGCAATGAAAAGGAAACCGTTAAAATTTAATTTTCATAACAATATTTATTCTCATTATATCATTAAAGTATGTGAATTTTATCATCAACAGGGTATCGTTGATGGAGGTACCATCAATTACACCAAACCATGTAAATATTATTAATGCAACGATACAGATTACATTTAGTGATATTAAAATTTATTATTAAAAACGTTATAAGAAAGTAAATATTATTTCTATTATTAGTAAAATTGATTAACAAATTTTCATAAATTAGATTAGACCAATTAAAATCATTTGCTAACTCTGTTCCTCAAAGTCACTCCCTTCGAAATTCAAATGATGGTATTGAATTTTCTAATCTTTAAACCTTCTTAAATTTGATCGTACAACCTTCTTTTATCAAAATAAAAAGTTGATATGAGCTATCGTAGATTCTTTTTTTTGATTAAAACTTATCTCATCGTTAATATCCGTTGCAAATACCATAATTGAAAATGCCATTTACGTGATTTGGTTGATTTAAACATTACTTTATAAGATTTATTAGCATCTTGTTCGACAATGAATTTACATTTAAATTTCGTTTAATATTCAGATAAAGTCTTTAATTAGCTATGATACAAAATCAAATGTTTCATTTTATTTAGAAATTCAAGAAATTTTCCTTTTGACACGACGTCAATCATTTTAGTGATACACTTCGCCACAAAAATTGTTTATATTCAACACGTGATTTTGGAAAAAAGGAACTCATCCGGTTTTTTTATTTCGCCACCTGAAAAAGAATCCATTTTTAGAAATTATTTAAAATGACAAGCTTTATCATTTACGATTAAAAATTCTCTCTCTCTCCTCTCCTCCCCCTTTTTTTTTTAAAAAAAAAAAAAGATGATACCACAACTTCCTGAGGATTGTGTTCGAGAAATTGTTCAATATTTATCGGATAGTCCTTTTGATTTGTTCTCTTGTTTATTAGTAAATAAAATATGGTTCATTTGTGCCGTATCAATTCTATGGAAAAACCCATGGAAACATAATAAATATTTACATGTCAACATCACCAATTGTTCTTTAACTTTAAAGGGAAAAGCCAACCATCTATCTTTTAAAAATCATCATGATTACAAAATATTTTGGAAAGTTATTGGTAAAACGATATTAAAATGTTTACCATATGAAACGAAACAATTATTAATCCATCAAGGGATACCATTAAACCCTTCACTACTTTCACAACCAAAATTTAATTATATAATATATTTACAAAAAATCTCACATATTTATATTAATCTTTTGGTAGATAATATCTTTGATGGGTTTGAATCATTAATTGAATGTAAAAGAGTCGTTACCAAGGAATTATGGAAATACTTGTTACAAGAATGTATACGTGTTAAAACGTTGATGATACCGAATGATATTTCGTTTATGAAATATAATAATGATATGAAGGGATTTTTTAAAAGAATCGATACCTTGGTTTGCAGTACCAAACATTCAAAGAATATGTATCAAGAAATTACGGGATATGGTCTTTCATTACAAAAACTTAAAATTCTCACTTATAATTGTTGTTATAATAATGATGATTTGGAAAATTTGATTAAATCTCAAAATAATTTACAAGAATTACATATAATTGATGATGATGGTAATAACAAATTTGATTTCATTCCTTCGAATTCTTTGGAAACTTCACCCATAACGTACCTTTACTCCATAAGTAATGTTTATGATAGATTTATAATTCATTCACGTAATTCGCTTAAAAAGATTAAAGTCGAGACAAAAGTTTATACTTTGGATCACCTAAAAAGTTTCATTCGAACGATTGTTAATTCTTGTCCGAATTTAGAAGTTATTATTATTCATTTAGATAAGAATCGTTCTCATGTCGGTAGATTAGATTCCGTAACATGGGCTATTATTTCTTCAATTACATCAACTGATGATGAAAGAAAACCCACATTGGAATTTTCGATTAAGCCTACGTCTCGAGGATATGAAATTCAATTAGAGAGAAATGTGCGAACAAAAATATATCATTATTAATTATCTTTTACCCCGTCTTATCCTTTATTGTATTTCATATATTTTATATAAATTTATTTATTTATTTGAAAATTTGATAATAGTGAAAAAATTACATAATAAGTGAAAATTTTTACTTTACAAGTAATTTTGCTTCGTGTTCACTGATTAATTTTATCCAACTTTCACGATTGGAAATGGATTTCCACCATCTAACAACGTTGGGGCGTTTAGGATCCTCCCACAAATCACGATTATTTAATTTAATAAGGTAATTAGAGTAAGGTATATGAAAAATATCAACCAAAGAGAAATCACCAGCCAAATAATCTTTGCCCTCCAATAATTTATCATAAACATCCAACACTTTAGAAATCGCTTCACGACCTTCTTCAATATTTTCTTGAACAGGAGTTTTACCATTAAATTTTGTGTATATTAGCTCTCTGGCTACTATTTTTATAGCTGGGTCGTAATCAGAGTATTCTACCGACATGTATTGATCCAACAATGCGGATTTTCGTTCATCATCAGTAGGGTAAAGTATAGTGGATTTTTTAGTTCCTTGATATTTTTTTGCCAAATAAACAGCGATTGGACGAGATTCATAAAGTGTGAAATCATCGTCAATGAGAACCGGAACTTGACCGCTGGAAAAAAAAAATGCGTTCAATAAAAAAGGAATGTTTTCGTGGCGCAGAAAATGTCCGAGAAATGATCGCTTACAATGGATGTTTGGCCAAAAATTCCGGACTCTTGATTTCTGTCCAATCAACCTCGACGAATTCATAAGGTACACCTAATTCCTCAAGAGTCATGAGCACAGCGAGAGTATAAGTAGATCCAGGGAATCCGAGTATTTTGATAGCCATTTTTTTTAATTGAAAGTGAATATTTTAATAAGAATCAGAAAAAAATAAACGTATTTTGGGCTCGTATTTATAACAAATTTGACGAGAGAGACATTTGATTTCTAAGCAAATTGTTTAATAATCAAATTAACATTACTAATTGTCGCAAACGGATGATTAGAACTCCGAATTTAAATTTAATTTTAGTCTTACCATATTCTTAAATCATATTACTATTAACGTATAAATGATGAGAAAAATTACCTCTTTCACTAAAAAATATGCAATCAAACAATATATGGTCGGCGAAAGGAAATCCTTATCCGAAATTGTTATAGTAATATTATGTAACGGTTACACCAACTCTTTTTTTCCTCTGGATTTTGTTTGTTGGAAACATGTTCTATGAGATTTTTTTTTTCACATTATGTTCTTTAAAGTTAAAGGTATTATACATATGGCGTTTTTGAAGAGGAAAATTGTTTTAACCCCATCAAAAAATGGGTAAACTTGGTGAATTTTCAAACAATTTGACCGATCATTCCCATTATATCGAGGAAGATGCAATTTTAACAGCAAGTAATAACAGGAATGTGGAAAATGTATTTAGGCATAAAAAAGCGCCATTTCGCATGGAACAAAAAGGAACTTTGGTTGCTGATTTGTGGATTTGTGGATAAATAATTATGAATAAAAATGTTTATTTACATATCTCCTTAAAAAATGATTTCAAATAAAGTTTAATCGTCTTTAATTGTTACATATCAAAGTTACCTAATTCATACAAGTTTCCAAATTCGTCATATTGTTTTTTATATATTTTGATTGAAACAAAACTTCACTCGTTTTACAAATGACGGAGTAGATAAATGTTGTCACGGAACTCGGAAGAACAATTGAATGATCCGTTTTCGCTCTCCTTTCCATAAAATTTTTAAAAAAGATTAAATATCTTACCATTTTTTTTTTTTTTTTTTTAAAAAAAAAAAATTCAAACTATAAGAAAATGGATGAAAAGTTGATAACTGATTTGAGAGATTTGAACTTAAATTTAATATCGTTGGATAAATTTGAACAATTACCATCGGTAAATTATTTTGAATAAAATTTTATTTTTTTTATTATATATTTTTTTTAATGGTAATTCTAAAACATATAAATTTAAATAAATAAAATGTATATCAAAACCCACAGAAAAAACAAAATGAATGTGAATATGACACTCGACCCAAGAAAAAGAAAGAAAAGGAAAAGTCTCGGGGAAAGAATTTGATACCGTAATAAATCTTTATAAATCTTTCATTCGCGGTAAAAAAAAAAAAAAATTATGATTATATTTATATAAGTATATATTTATTTTTCTTTAGACTGGACAATGTAGCTACTACAACAAAGAAAACTGAAAGATCAAAGTTTCCTCATCCAATATCACAACATACTCGATTTAATCCTCCCCCAAACAATAATATAACAATGTCTCAACCTACTCTATTTTATCCTCCAAGAGGAAATGATGTAAATTCGCAACCTTCCCTGTTTTATTTTCCCAAGGCAATCCCACAAATTAATACAATGCCATCACAACCTCCTTTGTATTATCCTCAAATGAATATGGCAAAATCACAACCTCTGTTGTATTTTCCCAAATCTTTTCCACAAACAAAAATAAATAAAGCAACGACACAAAAATTCCCCCCTGTGGTAAATTCGCGAGTGAATCCGCAACATTTTCCCATTCCTGAGGAACAATCACGATCGAATAATGAAATGGTGTTTCCTTCTAATCAACAATTTCCGAATAATGAACAAATGTTTTATCATCCGCATCCTCCTAACCAGCAACTTCCAAATAATAAAGAAATATTTTTTCATCCACTTCCTTTTAATCAACAATTTCCAAATAATAATATTCATCCGCTGCCTTCTAAACAGATTCCAAATAATAAAGAAATGTCTTTTCATCCACTTCCTCCTAACCAAAAACTTCCGGATAATAAAGTAATGGTTCAGCAATTTCATCATTCCAAAGACTCTTTACTAATAGAAATAGAAGATGAAATCATCAAACCAAATGAACAAATAGAAGATGACATATTCGAACAATATGAACAAATAGAAGATGAACCGATCGAACAATATGAACAAATAGAAGATGAATCGATCGAACGATATGAACTAATAGATGATGAAGAACAATTAGAATTTGGAACAATTTATCCTGAAGAACTAACAGAGCGAATTCCAAATACGTAATTTTTTTTCAGAGATTTTTATTTTATTTTTTCTTTTATTTAATAAATTTGATGTTTATTCTAGATCGCGGGATGCTGCTACTAATCGATCCAAGGAAGTTTCCAGAGAAACTGAAAATCAAAGACGAATGATATATATAATTCCAGATATGCAAATAGAGTCCGCTTATGCACCAGACTTGAAATTTCCAACATCGGAATTATGGTTTGATTACTTGAATTCAACAGGGTATTTATTGGCAATTTTTAAAGAGTTTTTTTCGTTAAAACAAATCTAAGTTTATAACCTATATATCATGCTGTAGTTTACCACGTGTACATGAAAACAATCATTGTATCGCGATTGATTGTGAAATGGTTGGGGTTGGTGAAGGAGGGAGAACATCTGCATTAGCGAGAGTTAGCATAGTTAATTATTATGGTGAAATATTATTGGATAAATTTGTTAGAATTACCAGAAGAATTACCGATTACAGAACTCCATTTAGTGGAATTACGCCTCAATCATTAACTGATGGTAAGATTTTGTTCTACGTCTTTTTTTTTTAAAAAAAAAAATATTACGGTAATTAAAACATTTTGAATCTATAAAATTTTATGACTTATAGCAATTGAATTTAATCAAGTGCAAAAAGAAGTTGAAAAACTTATGGGAGGTCACGTAGTAGTTGGACAATCAGTTTACTTTGATTTCAAGGTAAGGAATAAAAATATTTAAGATCAGGTGATGGTTCATAACTACATAAAATCACAAATACTTTTTCAATTTCTTATAGGCCCTTAAAACCAAGCATCCGGATTATTTGGTCCGAGATACATCATTTTACAATAGTATCTTTGGTTTAGATCGCGAGACACTTTCTTTAAAGAAGTTGGCTAAAAATGTTTTAGGGATCAATATTCAAGAAGGTGAACATGATTCAATTGAAGATGCAAGAGCTTCCATGATAATTTATAGGCATCGACAGGCTGAGTGGGAAGAATATTTGAAGAAGAATGGATACCCAAAACCAAGGGGATGTAGAATTTGTAATGCACATCATGTCGTTAATGAATGTCCATATAATCGAAAGAATTATAAAAAGCGTAGAGATTTTAGGGGTAGAAATAGAAGAGATGATAACATTGATTATGATGAATATAATAGGGATCCTAATACATCTAAATATTATTCATATAGCGGTAACTCCAATAATTCACATTATAATTCACATTATAGACCTAATTATAATTATGTAAATAGGTATAATCATAATCATCGTTGGGGGAATTATTAATATTTTAATAAAAATATTTTATTATTCTCTTTTTTTTTAAATAAAAAAAATAAAGCAAAAAAAAGCAATAAATAAAAGGTTTATTATTAATTAATAACGAGAAACATTTTCTAAACAAAACAATATAAAGAATTTCTCGCATTATTCAAAATCTTCTCTAGGCTGTTCTATCACATTCACTTAATAAAATATCTTTGATAAATCTATCTTGACCATCCTTTAAGTACACCATTGTCAACAAATTCTTCAAAAATATCAAAAATTTCCTTGGATAATTGAAAATCAACTTTGGCACTAAAGTATAATGGTTTACTGATCTTCCTATGATCCTTATAATCGGATTCTTTAATTAAATTTTTCTTTCCCCAAAGACTTAAAAATTTTCTCAAATCTTTTGCACTAAAGATCCACGTACCACTAAAATGTAACTCTTCAATGGTACCATTACCACCAATCAATTCCACCAATACCTCAAATATAGGATTCAAATCCAAAGGACGCCAACTAAATGGTCCCAACACGGCCTCAAAAATCATTCCCTTCATTTTACTACCACAAGTTGTTAATAAATTTTTTAAATCATTTAAAGAATCATCTTTAAACCAAAGTGTGACAAGTTCTAATCGAGTACAATGTTTAATCAATGTTTTCCAATATGGTTTGATATGATTTAAATAGGGATGAGGAACTGTATCAATCTCTAAATGTTTAAGAGATCCATTCGTATTATTAATTAATTTTGTATAAAGATCTAAATATTTTTCATTAACATTCCTTATCTCCAAACTTTCCAACAAAGGGAAAGAACAATTATCCAATAATTCCATCTTTGAATTAACGTTTTCTTCTAAATCGATTCGAATATGTTTCAAATTGATTAGTTTGGGAAAGGACGTTGAAGGAATACAAATGTGTTCTTCCAAGCTAATGCTTGTCAATGAAGGATATTGTGTGCCAATAGCTTCACCAATTAAATTACATTGAGATCCTTCAGATGATGAGATTAAAACTATCTCTTCTAAACCCTTTTGCATCGAAATCAAAGAGACCAACCCTTCATTATCATGATCACATAAATTTACCGTAATCTTTTTAATATTGTTGCACATTTGAGCCAAATCTAAAAATAATTGGGAAGATTTATAGGTTGAACATTCTAATTCAACCAAATTGGCTAAACATGTACTATCCTTTTTGATATTTGTGTAATAATCGATAGAGATGTTTGGAATTTCCAAATATTTGATCGTTGAGCACCTACTCATGAATAATTTCCAAAGTTCATTTTCTACTAAGTTTCCATTGTGAAACCATGTGATATCAGTTGGATGTTCCGATCCGAGTACTTCCGGTATTATTTCATATATATCTTGACATGATATATTTTGACAGAAACCAAAGTAATCAAATAATGCAAGTTTTCGATCCCCTGATTTCTCATCCAATAAAATATTTGGAGGGTTGATTCCGTTATGCTTAAATAATATAATTGATTCTTCCGGTAAGCATGATAATAAAGTTCTGGTGATTGTTGTCCAAAATCCTTGATCAAAATTATACAATCGCTTGAGTTTAAAAGGATTCCTCCATAATATAGGTACAACGGTTTCACACCATAATCTATTAACTAATAATAAATGTCGCAATGTTCTAATATCCCCTGAAAGATTCTCAAAAATCTCTCGAAGACAATCCCCCGGTAATTGTACTACAAATTTTTCCGGCATAATATAATAACAATAAAATAAAAAAATCCTTGTTTGTTTTGATTTCGTGTAGAGGGGAGAAAAAACAATACGCGTTAATATTAAATAAATTTTTTTTTTGAACCTTACTATTTATCCAAATAGAAAAATTACCTGAAATACAAACTATAAATTTGCGAGAAAGGTTATGAAGTAATAAAATTTAAATGTTTTCTAAACAATAAATAATTATAATTTAAGAAATTGAGAAGAAGCGATCGTTTATTTTATTTTTTTTTTTTGTAAAAATATTTAATATAAATTAAATCATAATAAATGAGGTGACCAAATAAGGTAGCACGGCATTTGTGATTGGCCAGATGAATATGTCGAAATTAAATATAGTTTAACGTGATTCTCCTTGCTTACTAATTCGTTAAATATGGCAACAAATAAACCTGGAAGTTCTATTTTGGGATAATGTATAGGTTTAATTTATTTCATTTCCGAAAATGAAAAAAATGAAACGATGCGGTTTACGTTGGGTCGTACACATCATATAACCAACCATACCTTTTCCCATTTATGGCATAGGAAAATTATCTCGTTAAATGTGTTATTCAGCAAATGAAATTCCCAACAGCAACCAATGAAATCGTGTCACACGAGATCCGAGTGATATTCTATCAAAACCAAACTCAGATAATCCTGTTAATCTATTTGTCTACCAAACCTAATCGTGTGATTCTACACACACAAAGAACAAGCGATTATACAGCGAGAGACGAAGTTGAAATTGGATCGATCGATGGGATTTAGGACATGCCGTGAAAGCTTTAGAAGCAAGGAGTTAAAGAGTTCAATTTGCCGAATGCCTATTAGGAGAAAGCCTGTGTAAGATTTATATTATTTCACTCAAATATGTTTGTTTATATTTACATCAAACAGCACCTGTTAAATTATTTAATTGGTACTTGTTTATGCAAATAAAATGGGATGATGAATGTCATGATCACGTGTATATCTGTTTCAAAAACTAATTGTGACAGGCACCGGGTAAATGGCCGGAGAACTGAAAACTAAAAAGGAAATTCTCAATAAGGTTTTGTACATACAACATAGATCGGATTCCTCTATCGTATCCACGTATCTACAGCCCTAGATCTCTCTTTTTTTTTAACAATGGGTGAATTTGGTGAATTTTTAATACCAAACGATTTTAACGAAAAAACGAATAAGGCTTCATTCAAAGCAGACATTTTAGTGAATTTACGTATCGGATGTTCCAATTCGTTATAATAAGATTCGGTACGTTTGTAACATAAATAAATTTGTTTTGTGAATAATCGATATGCAACATTATGATAGAATAATGCACAATGAAATCGTTCAAGACAGGGGTTTACAAAAATTTCTGGAAATTTTCCGAAATCTTAATAGCTTGCTTCGATCAATTCCGTTGGATACCAGGTATATGGTTGGTTTCCTTCAAGGGGTTGCCTTCTTGCCAAAGAGGATATTTGATACTAATGTATCATCGAAATTTAAAAGAAATTATGTAATATTTTATTGCATCGGTATAGAGCGGTTAGATTCCAATGTTTATATATAAATCAATTTTTTGGGGGTTGATTTTCCTTAACCTATTGTCTAAATCATCATCAAAATTAAAAAACGTCAAAAAAAATATCGGAAGGTTCCGATTTATCACGACCTTTACAAATAAATTTATTTTCCCCTGCATCATAAAGAAGACGGGATGTTTATGGTACGAAATAAAATAACATCATTCAATTCGGAAGTGGGATTTTCAAAATTCAAAACGTTGCCACAATCAAAAATTTTTTCTTTTTGTTTTTTGCTTTGTTTTGTTTTTGTTTTGTTTTTGTTTCATAAACAGATGAAAATTATTGATTAAATTATTTATATAGCTTCAATTCAAAACTTACTTCTTTCAATACACTCCTTCTTTTTTAAAAAAAAAAATCTAATTCTCTTCAATTAATAATGGGAAATCATCTTAGGAAATTTTTACGTTTGTTCTCTAGACAATCTTTTACATATAAAGATGAACCAATGGTTCCATTAAATCAAACGCAAAATGAAGAAGAAAGATGGGACGAAATACATTATTTATTAAAGGATTATTGGGGTGATAATTTTTCTGCTCCAATTCATGAATGGTTACGAATTGGTGATATTAAAGTCTTGGATATTGGGTAGGTTTATGTCGAAAATATTCTCATTTATTTTCCCTTTTAAGCAGCTTAGAAATTAAAACGAAAAAAAATTTTTTTTCCTTTACTATATATTATTTTCAGTTGTGGAACTGGATTATGGCTAAACGATATTGCCATAAATTATCCTTCGTCAAAATTTATTGGTGTTGATAATCTTTCATTACTTCCTGAAAATTCTCCTTCGAATATCACATTTATACAAGCAGATATTAAATCAACCTTACCATTTGATGATAATACTTTTGATTATGTTCATATGAGACATATGATATTTTATTTTACTGAAATAGAATGGATTAATGTCGTAATTCCCGAATTGATTCGTATACTAAAACCTGGTGGGTACCTTGAATTGGAAGAAGCTGATCAGGAATGGAGTAACGTTACGCCTACTACTAGAACTTTTACTAGTATCGGTAAGGATCATCAATTCAAATGTTTACAGTAGTGGTTCGATTTTCAATTTTTTATTTGGGTTTTAGGACATAATTTAATGAGACAAAGAGGGATTGACCCGTTTTTGACCAATCATCTCGATGATATTATGGAAAGTACCGAAATGTTGGATAATATTCATCGTAAAGTACAAGAAGTTCAAATAGGAAAATGGGCAGGTCATAAAGGTACCTTTTTTAAAAATTAAAAAACTGTTGTCAATGAAGAATATGAAGAAAATAATTTTTTAATTTTTTTTTTTTTCTTAGGGGAACATTATCTGAACATTATCTTACAATTTTTTGTTAGAGTTAAAGTTTCTTATCGTGAGAGATTAAATATTTCGAATAATGAATTTGATAATTTAATACAACGAATAAAGAGCGAAGTGGAAGAACATAAAACCTATTGTAATCATAATAGGTTCTTTGCTATTAAAAAAAGTGTCTAGGATCAATAATTAATTTTTGATTTTATCAAGTTTCAGTGATTATTTTTTTAAAATAATTATTTTTAAGAAATATTTTTATGATTTAGCTTTTTTAAGGATGATAATTTAAAATTAAATAAGAAATTCATATAGATTTATTATGCATAAAATTTCATTATATAACTTCGCGAATGACACGAATGATATAGATTATTAATACATCATTAATCGTATAGATTAATACTTATATTTTTAAACTAATAAAATCATTTTGATATCTTTAGTAAAAAAAAAAATGAACATTTGATGAGATGAATCGACTAATTTACGTGCACGTTATGATTTTTTAAATATATTCTACTAGATCAAATGATTTATTTTTACAGGTTACGTTATAATAAAAGTTGGTATTAATTTAATCATGATTTGATCCGACATATGATATTTTTATGAAGATTGAGATAATATCAGGCAGGTAAATATATAAAATAACCACAAATTTCCTTTTCGCTCCAATTTTATTATTCAAACGTTCCACACTGCAAAAAAAAGTTAACACCGATCGGTTTTCATAAAAAGAAAAAAAGAAAGAAAGGATCCTTGGAAAGTTTAATTTTCGAAAGGAAAACATATTATGAAATATCAACACAATTCTCTCCATGATGATTCTCTTTATCATAGCAAGTTGCGTAGCGAATACTCAGACACCGAGTGGAAGTGGTTTTTCAGGACTTGGTGGAATAATCGATCAATTAGGAGGAGGAAAGCTACCCGGATCTCAATTGCCGGGAGGGAAACAAAACAATCAACTTCAACCTCAAATAGGCGGGAATGTGCCCAACATCCTGCAAGTAGTAATGTTGCAATCTGGGACGGTCAATCCGAATGGAAGTAGTTCGGTTGCACCATCTTACGCGGCTAAACCATCTCCTGTTATTCTCAATGCCGATCTATTACATCGATCGCATAATGATGTTAAAGTCGTATTAATTGTAGCTATTAACGCTATCAGAATCTTCTCACGTGATCAATATATATATAGCGGTGGATTTTTTAAATTTGTAATCAAATAGTATATCTGTAATCAATATTTTACAATTAAAATAAATTGAGGCTGAAACATCTTACAATAAGCATTAAAATTGGGACAATTTTTTTTATTCATTTTCACTTTTTGCATATTTACACGCCGTGTAACTAGCTCAATACCGTGTACAATTTTGCATACTTGAAAATCTAACTGGATTGGTTGTTGATTTTACTTGAACGTTACATAATCTTTTAGTGAACAATTTGTGTTTTTTATCATTTTTGCTTGAATAGTAACTAATAAATATTTTCTTTTATATTTTATTGATAAATAATTGTGATTTTTTATATATGAAACATCAAAAAAAGAAATCATTGTAAATCATTGTAATCTAGTAAGTTCTTAATTATATTACTATTAACTTTTAAATATAAGTATTAGATTCACAATTATTTTTATATATTTTTTTTTATTTGCAATAAATAAAAAATATAAAAAATTAAGATTTTTTTTAAAATAGTATACAGTCATTCTATTCTATACCATATAGCCAGGGTTGGAAAATACAGTGTTAGTATAATAATGATTAATAATACAATTAGTACAGTTAGTATGTTATAATAATTAATATAAAAATTAGTACAAGTACAGTATTAATTTTATTTAGTACATACAAAATTCCCAACCCTACATATAGCACTATCTAATAGGATCAGAATATTAATATTTAAAATCTCAGATCTTATTTAAATAGTATTAGTAAAGTATTATGTAAGAAAACAAGTATTATGAAATATATCTTTTTTAGTATTTTTATCAAAGTTTTTTAACTTATATAATAATCTATTATAATATGCATATATTTTTTACTATGATTTTTATAAGATTTGTAGTCAAATAATAGTATTGAGAGCATTTTCATAAATAAAAATACTTTATAAACTATCTAAAGTCTTTTTATAGGATACTAAAGTTCCTCAAAATCGTATTGAATCAAATATTTAAGCAATTTGAATTTGATTTGATTTTTTCAAATCAAATCAAATCAAATCAAATATAATATAATTTTTTTTTAATTTTTACAATTATATATTAAAATAAAGTTATTCTAAAGTTTTAATTAAAAAAATTATTAGTAATTATACTAAAAAATTTCAAAGATAGCTTTTACAAAGTAAGTTTAGTAACAGGTGAATTTTTACTATTAAACTTAATAAAATAACTGTGCAGTCTAAGTTTTACTAAGAAAACTTAGTAATAACTGCCATCACGACTTTGGTTTACTAAGAAAACTTAGTAATAATCACCATCGCAGCTTCAGTTTTACTAAGACTATTTAGTAATAACCGCCATCTTGGCTTCATAACAATTTTATTAGTAAAAAAATGTTTCCGAAGTTGTGAACACGTTTTTTTACTAGGTTTCTTAGTAAAAAACGTCTCCAAAGCTGCAGAGGCATTTTTTACTATATTTTCTTAGTAAAATAGTGTCTCCAAAACCACGGAGGCATTTTTTACTATGTTTTCTTAGTAAAATAGCGTTTCTGAAGCTGCAGAGGCATTTTTACTATATTTTTTTAGTAAAATAGTGTCTTCAAAGCTGCAAAAGCGCTTTTTACTATGATTTTCTTAGTAAAAAAGCATTTCCAAAGCCATGGAAGCACTTTTGCTATGGTTTTCTTAGTAAAAAGGCATTTCTAAAGCTGCGGAGGTGTTTTTTACTATAATTTTCTTAGTAAGAGCCACTCCTGAAGCTTTGGAGATGACTTTACTATTGATTCAAATCAAATCAAATATTTGAATACAGTCGACCCCTTCTATAGTCACCTCCTATATAATCACTCCCCTTCTTTAGTCACATTATAGTTCAGTTTTGATTTTTTAAATAAGAAAATATCCCTTTTATAATCACATAATATATATAAATATAATCACATCAATTTTTAGTCCCATCTTATAATATATGTAAGAAAATCGCCTCCTATATAATCACATCAAATTATATCTCTTTATATAATCACAGTAAATCATATCAATATTAATTTATTATTATACAAATAATGTCTAAAATATCTAAAAATTAAAAGTGTACGATCTCGGTCAATACTGCTTCGTTTCTCATGAAACAACTACCATCCGAATCCTCGAAACTAGACGAATCTAATGAGCTAATAAACATCGATTTCGGATCATCCAATCACAAGATAATCACGATTGAATTATTGGCTGAAATTATAATTCAATAAATTCTACTCAAGGAATCCGATTTCAAACTCAATCGATAATATCTCGTTATTGGATGATCAGAAATCGATGTATATTTGTTCATTGGATTCATATAGTTATGAGAATTTGAATGGTAGTTTTTTTATGAGAAACGGAGTGGTATTGACCGAGATCGTACTCTTTTGATTTTTAGATATTTTAGACACTATTTGTATAATAATTATGTGATAAAGTATGATGAAGTCGATTTCGACCATTTTGCGATATTGATTAATTTTGGTTTTATGTTTATTCATACTAAAATATAACTAATATATACTTATCTTCTTCAAAAATTTTAACAAAAATTTAAAATCTTACATAATTTATTTTAAAATTAATTAATACAAAATTTTACATATAATCACACTAACAATATTTTTACATATAAGTGATTATAATAACAAATCCCTTGATATAAGCACACCTTCATATAGTCACACCATTTCATGGTCCTGAGGGGTGTTATTATAGAGGGGGTCGACTGTATTTATTTTCAGATATTGTTTATTTTCAGAATAGTATAATATATAGAATATAATAAACCTATTTATAAGCATTACAACTCTAAAAATCTCAGTTAAATTTAGATTAGAAATTAATTTAATCTGATTTAAAATTTTATTTAATTCAATTTAGATTATAATTCCAACAAATGATAATCTGAATTGAACTAATTTAAAACTTTTAAATAATCTAATCTGAACTGAAACTTTTCAGATTAATCCAAAATTTTAGGTTATCAAATACCCTTTAAAAATTCAGATGTGATTTTTATTAATATTTTTCTAATAAAAGTTATCTCTAACAATTTAGATGTAACTATTATTATTATTTTCCTAGTACTGATATTTTGATATAATAAAATATCATACTTAAACTGTCAGAGATAACTTTGTTAATATTTTTTTCTAATAAAAGTTATCTTTGACAAATTGTGTTTGATTTTTATTAGATTTTAAAATTCGCTTTTGACAATTTAGATGCAACTTTTATCAGTTATTTTTTTAATAAAAGATATCTCAAAATTTGAAGTTATTTATTATTAATTGAAACTTAATTCAATTTAAAATTTTCAGATTGAATCTATTTAGTTTAGATTTTTTCAGTTTAGATTAAATTATAATCTGAAAAATTTCAAACTGATTTAAAATTTTTTAGATTAATTTTTTTATAATCATTTTTTAAAATGAAAAAAATTGAATTGAACAGATTAATCTGATCTGTTTGAAATTTTAATAAAAAAATTATTATAAAATAAAAATATAAATATAAATAAATATAATTATTTTAATATTTAAATTAATTTGTTTATTTCTTTTTATCTAATAAATTTATTTAAATAAATATATATTACCATTTGATATTTCATAATTTTTATAATTAATAAAATTATGCATTAATTACTAAAAATATATAGCAAACATTAAAAATTAAATATCTTTTTTTTTATATAAAAATTATTAGTAACTAATTAATTATATTAATTATTAGTAACATAATTATTATAATAGTTTTATTTTCATAATTTTTATTCATTATTATAAAGCTTTATTATATATTTTAGATAATAATATATAATAAAATCTCTTTAAATATAAAAATCTAATATAAATATATACTATTTTAAGATTATTTGGATATTATCAAAAATTAATAAAGGATTTCATAAATATGTAAAACTTATGATAATATTATTAAAAAAAACTAACTATTAATTAAGAAGATAAACAATAATATACTTTTAATAGATTGATATAAAATTGTTTATTTTACAATATCCAGATTTTGAAATACCTTTTACTTTATATACTGATGTATTGAAAGGGTTAGATATAATTTTCGTACAAAAAAAGTCAATAAATATCTTAATCACCTATACTATTTAATTTATTAATAAAGCTAAAGAAAATTATCCTATAATTAATTTAGAATGTTTTGCTATTGTTTAAGTAATTAAACACTTTTATTATTATCTTAATCAATCATTTATAGCAGCAATTGACTATAACATCTAAAATATTTAAAGAAACATATGTAAGTTAGATAATAAAATTATAATAATACTATTTTATCATTAAATATAAAGCAGAAAAGCATAATACTAATATAGATGCATTATTTCAAATACAGTCAAACCTTGATATAGCAAACCCTTGATATAGCAAATTTTTAAATAAAATATATTAAAATTATCTTATTATAGTGAACTAGCCAATTAATTCTTTAAAAATTCATTATAAGCTTATAATGAAGTTGATATCCAGATCCTAAAATTCGTTATATCAAGAGTTTACTATATATGATAAAGAATAACAATTAATTAAATGTTTTAAAATAGGAATAATTAATACACCATTGAAATGATTTTAAATCAACTAAAAATCAGATTACAGTTGATAAATAATTAATAACTGATTTATATTAATTTTAATTAACAAAATAGAAATCAATCAAATAATTAATCAGTCATCAATCAGCTATTTAAATTGGCCTAAAAACTAATTTGATCATCAATCAACCTAAATCAGCCTAAAATCAATTAAGTAAATCAGAACTAATATTAATTAATTTATAATTAATTTTATAATTTTATTATTTTTATATAATTATTAAATTTGATTTTTTTATAATGAAAATAAAGAAATAATTAAAAAATCCACTTTAAAAATCCACTTTTAATTAATCTATATAAAATATATTTATAAAAAGATAAAGTAAAATAAAGGAATAAGTTAAAAATTCCATCATAAATCATTTTAATTGACTTATTATAATATATTTCTAAAGAATATAAATAAAAATAAAGAAAAGTCTACACAAAAGTTATTTCTGATTTATTTATCTTAATTCTAAAATGATAATTTTTTAAAAAACAAGAAAAAAGAAAAAAAATAATAAAAAATCCACTTATATAATCATATATAATCACCTCTGATTTACTTATCTTTGATTTTAAGGTAATAATTTTCCAAAAAAAAAACAAAAAAAAAGAAAGGTAAAATGGTAAATTTACTTAAAAAATTACTTATCAAGATAATAATTTTTAAATAATAAAAATATAAACGAATATAGTAAATTTTCATCTAAAAAAGTTATATTTGATTTACTTATCTTAATTCTAAAATATAAATTTTTCTAAAATAACATCTCTGATTTACTTATCTTAATGTATTCATTCCTAAAGAAAGTAAATAAAAATAAAGAAATAGTTAAAAAATAAAAAATTACTCTAATTTACTTATCTTAATGTAATCCTAAAGATAGTAAAGAAAAATAAAGAAAAAAAAGTTTAAAAACTATTGTTATAGAGTTATTATTGCAAGAAAATATGATATAGCAAATGATCAATATGTTTTACAAATTTTTACAAAAATAATCTACAAAACTGAATGATTTACAAATAATTTACATATGTAACATTAGAAATATTAAACAAATGTTATATAACTTATATATTTAATATATCTGATATAGTAAATATATTTGACATAACTAATATATTAGACATAATAAATATATATTTGATTTATTAGACATAGGGTTCCTTAAAATCGAATTAAATCAAATAATTAAGCAATTTGAATTTAATTTGATTTTTTCAATTTAAATAGAATCAAATCAAATTGAATTTAAATATTTGATCAAATCAATTTGAATTGATTTGAATTTGATTGAATTGAATCATATTGAATCAAATATTTGTTAAACCAAATCAATCAAATCAAATATTTGATCAAATTGAATTAAATCAAATCAAATCAAATCAAATTAGATTGAATTAAATTGAATTGAAAATAAAAAATATTTTAATTTTTATAATGATATATTAAAATAAAGTTATTATAAAGTTTTAATTAAAAAAATTATTAGTAATTGCACTAAAAAATTTCAAAGATAACTTTTACAAAATAAGTTTAGTAACAAGCAAATTTTTACTATTAAACTTAGTAAAATAATATCTCTGAAGCTGTTGAGATATTTTTTACTATGTTTTCTTAGTAAAATAATGTCTCCAAAACTGCAAAAGCATTTTTAACTATATTTTTCTTAGTAAAAAAGCATTTTCAAAGCTGTGGAAGCACTTTTTACTATAGTTTTTTTAGTAAAAAATGTATTTTCAAAGTCACAAAAATGCTTTTACTATAATTTTCTTAGTAAGAGCCACTTCTGAAACTTTAGAGATGGCTTTACTATTATTAATTTGAATCAAATCAAACATTAATTTGTATTTGATCAAATAAATCATTTTTGATCTGAATTTAATTGAATCAAATCAAATATTCAAATATCAAATTGAATTGCAAAACCCTAATTAGACATATATAATATGTTAGTTGTATCTTTCTATGTAAATTATTTTATATAAATAGAATGGTTTATAAATATTGAATGATAGGAAGTTAGATTTTCTCTAGTCTAATGCTAATATGTTTATTAATCTTTTCATTGTCTTTTTATTTTTATTATTCTTATACGTATCTTATCTTTAATAAATTTATTTTATATATATAATATTGGAAATCTAAAGATTAATTGCTACATAATTTATAATTTATAAAGTGTTCTTTTATTTAAAAATATACATATTATTATAATTATTTTAATAGATCCAATAAGTACCAATAAAAAGTAATCACTTAAATGTCTCATCTACATTGTATTTCATAAGAATCACACAAATTACACATTAATACTATTTAAAAATCACCTTTAAAAGACTTACCTTAGTTTCAAAAAGATAATTTCTTTAAAAAAAAACAAAGAAAACAAAGAAAAAAAGGTTAAAAATTATTCTAAAAATATCTTCAAAAAGCTTACATTAGTTTTAAAAAGAGAATTTTTTTAAAAAATATAAAGAAAAAAAGTTAAAATCTATCTTTGATTTATTTTAATTTTTAAATGATAATTTTCTTAAAAAACAAGAAAGATGAAAGATAGAAAATAAATTTTCACCAAAAGTTACAAAAGTTACATCTGATTTATTAACTTATTTTTAAAATAGGAATTTTTTTAAAAAAAAAAAAGAAAAAAGGAAAATTTATCTAAAAACTTCTGATTATTTTCAAAATAAGAATTTTTCTAAAAAACAAAACAAAACAAAAAAAATAGTAAATTTTCTATTTAAAAATTCATATCTGAATGATTTATCTTATTTTTGAAATGAGAATTTTCTTAAAAAACAAAGAAAAAACAAAGAAAATAGTAAAAAATCTTTAAAAAAGAAAATATTTCTAAAAAAAATACAGAAAAAAAAGAAAAAAAAAAAGGTTAAAAATAGAAAATTTTTTTTTGATAGATCTGAAAATTTATCAGTTTTATATTATAAACTGAATTGAAAATTTTGAATAAATCTATAATTTCATTTCATTAGAGTTCATTTTAATTAAACAATTTATATATTATCTAAATGAACAATTTAACGTCCTACTAAAATGATTTATTATCATTTTAAAGAAAGCAATTTTTATCATTCTTATTAAATGATTATTATTCTAAAAAAATAATAATACATCATTTTTTTTAAATGATTTCAATAAGAATATAATCTATTATTTCTTTATGATAATTTTAAATCATTCTTATTAAACAATTAATCTATCATTTTAAAGAAATAATTTTTTTAAATTGTTTAATTAGAATGATAATATATCATCCCTTTAAAATAATTTTTATTTTAATTGTTTAATAAAAATAATGATGTATCATCTCAAAAGAACAATTTTTAGTTATTCTTATTGAATTATAGATCTATTATTTTTTTGAAACAATTTTTTAATCGTTTAATAAAAATAATATCTATTGTCTTAAAAGGATAATTTTATAAATTATTCTTATTAAATGATAGTTTATTGTTCTTTTAAAATGATTTTTTTAAATTGTTCTTATTGAATAATTCATCCTTTTAGAATAATTTTTGATCATTTAATAAGAATAATGATGTATTATCCCTTTTGGATAATTTTTTTAAATCATTCTTATTGAATGATATCATTTCAAAAGATAATTCCAAATAATTTCAACTAACAAGATAAGTAATAAAAAAAATTCTTTTACAAAAGCAAAAGTTGAATATAAGATTGATATAAAGTGTACTTTAATTAAAATCTAAATAAATTTAATATATTATATAAATAAATTTCTGAGAGGCTTGTTTCTTTAGAAATATTTGCATTTTATCCAAAAAACCGTATTTTGATAAAGTTAAATCAATGATTATGTAATGAAATAGCCTTAATCAATCCTTTAAAAATAATTAACATATAAATAATAAATAACATAAAGAATTAATTGTATACAGATGGTTACAAATAATCAAAGTGCTACTTCCTATTATATATAGTTTTATTATATGTGGGTTCAAATAGTATAGTAGTTGAGTTGTTAGTAAGCATAAATATAAAAAAATAAGATAAGTTAAAATATGAATTTTATGATAAAGTTTGCATTAATTTTTAATTGTTAGGAACTGAGTTAAAAGTATATGCAATAAATTGGGTTGGCTTTAGAATTTATAGGTTTAGTAAATTAGATAAATACTTATAATCAGTCGAAGAAGATAGCTTAAAAATATTGAAATTGCTTATTGCATTTTAAAATTTTTAGAGATAAGTTATTATATTAAGTTTAATTATTATTTAATAGTTATATATATATATATAAAGTTGAAATGAATCTTTTAGATATCTAAAAGTTAAAATAGTAAAACATTTTGATTTTTGGATATCCTAAAATTGCAATAGTCAAAATGATATCATATTACATGATTTTTTATATATAAAAAATTAAAAAAACAAAAAATATATAATCTCAATCAATATTGCATCAATTCTTATTTAATAACTATCATTCAATTCCTTAAGAATTTGGTGATCCTATCTCAGTTGGTAATAACTGAGACCTTATTATAGGTTACACTATAATAAATCTTAATTCAACCCTTAATCATAACAGATCATAATAATAATTATAGGATTTACCAGTTTGATTTTGAGAATAAATTTAATAAGATACAGTCAACCCTTGATATAACGAATTTTATGTCCTGAACTTCAACTTCGCTATAGAGCTATAGTGAATTTTTTAAAGAATTTGATTGGCTAGTTCGTTATAACGAGGGTAAATTTAATATAGTTGTCCAAAAAATTCGTTATATAAAAATTCGCTATAGAGAGGTATGACTGTATATGTAATTTTTGTTAAATTTTATATGTCAAATCAGTATATTGTATACGTTATTTTTGGTAAGATTTTATAGTACCGTTGGCCACTGTATACAGTACCCAGGATCTTATTCAAGAACTTGATTTTTTAAATTAAATAGTACCCATAGGTACTGTGTAAGGAATCAGGTACTATATTTGGAAGGATATACTATATAGGGGTATTATATATGGTAATTATTGTAAATGGTGGCTTGTAAGATACTGTTACGCAAATCTAATATTAAAGGTTATGCCAGTTACAATTATAAAATTTTTTTCATCTTTTAAAAAAAATTAATACGCTCTTCTATATCATATACTTCTCCGTTGCATTCTATATTAATTAGCTAGACATCAGCTTTATTTTGTCTGCTAACATGTTTATAATAAAAATAAATTAGTAATAGTCAATAATATAATTGCGAAATTAATGACTTGCATCGTTAAAAATTCATTACATTTCATCAAGATTGAAATTTAGGAATTGAGTTATAAATAACAAGAAATCTCTAGAAGTAGAATTCAATATTTCTTTATTTAGCCACTGCCCATGATGCTTCCCTTAAATAATTTGTGTGATAATCAAAGCAGATTATGTGCAAAGTTTTAAACCTAAGAAATTATCAAAAAACCTTTAGTACTTAAAAAATGCCAAGGGGAAATTTTCGTGCACATCAAGCAAAAACCACACAAAAAAAACGTCGACAATGGAATGCTCGTGAAAAATTGATATTTGTGTTTTACAATGAAAATGGACATAGTGTTCGGGCAACAGCAAGTAAATATAATATAGAACTAAAACAAGTTCGCGACTGGAAGAAGAAAAAGAGTGCTTTAATACGTACAGCTCCATATGTTCAATGACTTAATACAGATGCATGGCCAAAATATCCTCAACTTGAAGAGAAACTTTTGGAGTGGTTTCGTGAATTAAGAAGACAACTAAAAACAGTGACCAGATACATGATTAGTGTAAAAGCTCGTAGTTTGGCTAGCAAATAAGAATATCATACTTTGTATCCTGATATTTCTAGATGTAAATTTACACATAAGTGGGTGGATGGATTTATGTCTCGTAATTTGTTGGTAAATCATCGACACATTATAGTTGCACAAAGATTACCTGAAGAATATAATAAAGATCAGCAAAATTTTTTATCATATATTCTTTATAAACGAAATGAATACAACTATCCTTTGAATTTAATCGGCAATATGGATAAAACTCTGATGGCATTTAATTTGCCAAATCAAACAACTATTGAAGAACGTGGAAAACAAACTGTCTCAATCCTTACAACAGGCCATGAATGTACCCACTTTACAGTAACTCTTACTTGTCTTGCAAATGGTACTAAACTGCCTCCATTTATTATTTTTAAGTTAGTTAACGTATCACAAGAACAGTTTCCGGATGGTGTATATGTTCATGCGAATCTAAGTGGATAGATGAATGAGAATGAAATGATTTGGTGGATGGAGAATGTGTGACGCTGATAAACTAATTTGGGTTCAAATCCATGCTCGCTTCTTGTTCTTGATTCATTTACTGCCTATAGAACAGATCCTGTAAAATATCGTTTTAATGAGAGAAATACAGATATTACTGTGATTCCGAGTGGACTAACCTCATGATTACAACCCTTGGATGTATCCTTGAATAAATCATTTAAAGCAAAGGTTAGTTTTAGTGTTGCTGAAACTTGATGGATTTTAAAAAGATTTTTTATTAATTTTATTTTGTTATGGGTTCGCTATGCTTATAATAAATGGATGGATGAAGCCGTAAGGGAATACACACCAAAAGGTAAAATTAAACGGCCATCATACTCACTAGTAGCAACCTGGATTAAAGAAGCATGGGATAATATTGATCCTGCAATGATACAACGATCTTTCAAGTGCTGTGGGATTTCCACAAGGATGGATGACTCTGAAGATAATTTAATTTTCGATTTTGAAAATATGACAGGTGAAAAGAACATAAGAATTGATATTGAAGAAGATGAAGAAAGTGATAATTTGGAAGATAGTGAAGATGATGCAGAGGATGAATATTATGAAAATAAAGAGGGAAATTATGTTAATATTTAGGGTTAGTTAATTAGAAATATTGATTAAAATAAATAAACAAATCATAAGTTCTTGATGGATTTTTATTAATATATCGACACGTAATACTAAAACCTAAAACCAAAATCTTTCGGAAAGTAAATTGTTGATAGGAAATAAAAGTTTTATGCTTATAAAAAAAGAATACGCAATTTCACATTTTATAAACCTCTTATTCTGTGACATTCTGTGAAAATAAGCCTTTTACAGATATCGTATGCTAAAACTTAGCTGCATTGTTTTTTACAGAGATTGTGTAACTAACAAACATTAAAAAGCATTAGGACTCTTTATAGGTACTTTTAATTTTTATATTTAGTTATTTTATATAAAAATAAAATAAAAATTTTTAAAAAAAATTATGAATTTTCCACTTATTGAATATTCGGGTATTAATCAATTTTACCGAAGTTGAGTACTCGGGTATTAATCAATTTTAATGAAGATTGACATTGAAAAGTACCTGGGTACTACCTGTGACCAGATCATCATAGATGGAGAATAATACCCAGGTCTTAATCCCAGGAGGTATTATTTTTAGGGGGTACTATATACAGTATCAATTCACAGCCTAAAAAGATATTTTAATTCAAGCAATTTAGATTAAGATAATTTCAGCAATTAAGTAAAAATAATTCGTCATTAATAAAAAACTAGTTTTGTCATTTTGGTTTCGTCAATTTTATCATATTAAGAAAGATAATTTCGTCAGGTATTACTAATTGACTAAATAACACCCCTGCAATAATGTTGAAATTGTGTTGAAAAATTCATATTGTTTTTTATAATTTTTAACCGATTTGTAATGAATTTTGTTGAATTTGTGTTGAAATTTTTATTTTTTTTTACCAAATTGTGGCATTGTTTTTTTATAATAATTTATATTTATCATCCAAGTAATAAATTATTATTGTCTCTAATTATATGATCTATTATATTAAAAAATTCGCTTATTATATTTGTTATATTTGTGTTGATCTAATTTTATAAATAATATAACAGTTGAATTATTTTTGGAATCTGAATTAGAATTTTGAACATATAAAGTTTGAGCATTTCGATTGTGAATTTATTGTATTATTCAAGTTTTTATAAGATATCAAATCTGAATTTTAATTCAATAATAAAGAGATTTTTTATAAGATATCAAATCAGAATTTCAATTCAATAATAAAGAGATTTTTCACGAGGATATCAAATCAGAATTTTAATTCAATAATAAAAAAAATTTTCACAAAATATTAAATCAGAATTTTAATTCAATAATTCAATAATAAAGAAATTTATTTTTAAAGGGAAGTATTTTACTATTATTTAATTTTTTACTTTTGAATACTCTCAATTCTATTGATTATTTTATTAAATCAAACCATCAAATTTTTTAATTTTTACAAACATAATAAAAAAATAGCTACACTAAGAATTATCTGAAGGGATACTGAGACTGATTACTTGGTTAAAGAAAGGAGGAGACGCAACCATAAATATCATTATTTTTTTTGTAAAAATAAATTGAGATTTTGGCAGAGCATCATGAGAAGAATAAATTGACGTTATAATTGTGACTATTCTTGCCAATGCGATAGAAGTGGAGAAATCTAGTGAGGGATTATTGATAAGTAAATAAATAAATAATAATATATTGATAAATATAACTTAATAAATAATTAATATGTATGTATCTTTTAGGACTTTGTGATTAGCGTAACAGTACGAGAAGAAGGGAAAGGTGATTGTATAATAAAGAATGATTTATAATCTATTCTGAATTAAGTTTTGAAATAGGCAGGTAATTATTATAATTATTATGTTTAATTGATAGTTCTTAATAAAAATTTTAGGAATTTTTAGATTTATATTAAGTATTTTTACATTTTTTAGTTA